TCGAGTTATTCGCCTCAAGTTTTCTATGAATTTACCATAAACAATGCTAAATGGAATGCATTTGGCTGGCAATTGAACTACTTTTCTTACGTACAGTCCGCCTCGGCTCAATAGGATTTATGCGTGCAGCCGAATCGATTGCACATCATAGAGGAGAGCAGCAGCGACACTAAATTGAAATCGAATGGCCAAACAAATGAAAATGGAATTTCTCTCTCAAATAGAAATAGAAATCTATTTCACACGCAACTTGAAGTGCGTATGCGAATGCTCACAGTGGCTGCCAGAGTAAATGTACTGCTCAGCAAATAAATAGTGCGCGCAGCGATTGTAATGAGAGCGAGTGAGAGAGGGAGAGATGTATTAATTGTCTGCACCCCTGGGCGTATACGTAATATGTGACACTTGACAGCGCCTTGATGGATGTCTGATTGAGTTCGAGTGCGAGTCCCAGTCCAAGTCTGAAGCTGAAGCTGAGTCTGAGGCTGATGCGTGGCAGCACGCTTCACAGATAAGCCGATGGCATAAGCAAGGCACACTTGACGGCGAGTGACCTTCAGCAGGGGCTTTGGGTTACTGCAAACATTGCATCTTCATCGTAATAAAACGCAATCTCATTTCGCTTCAGCTTCACGACGACCCGATTCGCTGTTGACAGGGCGACAAATAGGGATTGGATTCGCGCAGCTGTAACGGCGCCATGGAGTTAACCAAACATTTGAGTTTATTGGCGCTCGCCCTGGTCGCGGTGCTGGCGCTTTATGGCCCCACCACAGATGCCTGCGTGTGCGAGCTCGCGCATCCACAGAAGCATTACTGCAACGCTGATTATGGTGAGTGGAGCGTCCTTGGAGAATTTAATCTAAATGCCAGCATTCCCTTGCAGTTGTGCAGCTGCGCGTTCTCCGCAAATCGGAAACCCTACAGAAGTTCCAGACGGTGTACAAGGTGCAGATAAAGCGCATCTACAAGGTAAGCACTCGCCATTGCCACAGCCACAGCCATTGCTTGGGCAGCGCCCTTATCAGAGCTCATCCTATCTTATTTCCCGTTAGGCCACACCTGAAGCTCGTCGCATGCTGCGCGACGGCCGCCTGTCCTCGCCGAGCAGCGACTCCATGTGCGCCATCAAGCTGGAGCTCGGCAAGATATACATCATAGCCGGCAGACTGCCGCAGCTGAACCTCTGCAGCTACTACAAGGAGTACATCAACATGACGATCAGCGAGCGGCGCGGCTTCAGCGGCGCCTATGGCACGGCCTGCAACTGCACGGTAAGTGGGACCGAGTGAGCTGCCGACAGTCAGCTGCAATTACATCCCCTTTATGCCCACCCACAGATCAACACGTGCTACAAGCAGCACTGCCCGTGGCAGCGGGAGAGCGCGGACAGCTGCTCGTGGTCGATGCATGACAAGTGCAAGCGCGACTATTCCTCCTGCGTGCTGCACAAGAGGCAAACGCCTGTGGGCGAGGTTCAGTACTGCCGCTGGAGGCGCACGCTGCTCTACAAACAGTGTCTGGCCCACCCGTAGGGCGTCGAGCAGGAGCAGGAGCTGAAGCTGGAGCTGGAGCTGGCCGTGGAATGGCTATTGTTATGCAACAGTTTTTTTAAATCTTAATTTTATACTCGAGTTTACAATTGTGTAGAGCTTTAATTCGTACGCTATGATTAATGTGTTATTTATTAATGGATGGCTTTTAGATGTGACCACAATTCGCTGTAGCTACTTAACTTAATTAGTAATTAGCACGTAATCTTTAATACACTTACCAAATCACGCGGATTCGGGAAGAATGTCTGCTCGATCAGCGGAAAGCCGTCGCGTCCCAGGCGCCGCTGCAGCTGCAGCAGATGCGCGAACACCCATGGCTTATCCTATTCGAAAGGAAACAGAAAAGAAATAAGCAAAGCGATTCAGGCCAATTGAACTCAACTGAGAAGAACTCACCTGGAACTGGTAGATGGAGTGCAGAGAATTGATGCTGGGCACTCCGCCGTACTTGAGACCCAAAATGGTCGAGCGGAAGTCGCTGGAGCCATCGCGCGGCGGTTGGCGTATCAACACGAAATCCGGCCGAAAAGAACGGGCAACCTGTATTTGTAGTTTTTTTTTTAATATTACTATTATTCTTATTATTAATTTGAGTTGTTTTGGTGTGTGATATTCCAAAGTTACATTAGAAACACATACGCACATATGTATGAAGAGCAGAATACAATATTTTTATTTCTAGCCGAGTCTTAACTGATTGAACGCAAAGTGACATAAATAAATATGAGAATCACAAGCTTAAAGCATTAGCAGCTTACGTTAAATTGGATTCAACACTCTTTTACTTTAAATGCCCTACAAAGGCGTCACTTAATTGCAGCAGAGGAATTGCAACGATGCGTGCACATATAATCAAGTTACATGCATACACACATACATACATATATGCTCCGTAATTATATGTGACTGTCAACTCAGTCGTAATATGCACACACACACACTAGCACAGAATTACGTGCTGCACACATCCCGCTGTCACGTAAGCATTCGGATAATTTTATCACGTTCCATATGCTATGCATCAATTCAAGAGTTGTCGATTCATACTTTTTACTGCATACTTTTCAGCTGAGTAAACAAACACACTTGGTGAACATAAATGAAGTGACTTGGATACTCTGAATACGGAATTCACATTCGGATAACCATGTGCTAAGCTTATGTTGTTCAGACTTCTCACTGATACTTTCAGATTTGCTATAAGGTTTGACACTTTGCTTTAAAAATAATTTTTATGCAGCATACTTTTGGGCTGGCGCAAATTTAAATTTAATATTTGCTAAAATGGTTTGCCGAATATATTAATATACAGCTTAAAATGAAAATTAAGCATTTTTGTGGCATGCTTTATTGGAGTGTAAATAATTTTTGATCCAAAGTGATTTGGATGCCGGATAGAAATTCGGATAAATTAGCTATTGGAAATATAAGGTTATAAACTTGGCTAATTCGAAATGCGTTGACCACTATTTCCATTGCATACTTTTAGGATCGCAAAATAAAAACATGGGAGAAAATAAACGAACTATCTTGAAAATTAATTGGGATACCGACTGCAATTTTTGAATATGGTTAAAAACTTGGCTTATCTCAGATTTATCCAATCTGCACAATTTGAACACAAAACTATTTGGTATATGTGTTATAAGGTCCTTAAGCTTCGTTTTGAATTGAAACAGGTTTATTTTTATTACACTTTCTTTATAGCTGCCAACAAGTATCCGGTGCTTACGCATCAACTAACTTAACGGTCAAATAAGTCACAGTATAAACTATAAATGCAGTATGCAGTAAGTAGGTCATGGGTAAGGCACTTGCGGTTTGATTACTTGTTCAATGGGGGCCACAGTAGAAGTGCTGGAAGATAAATAAACACCTCTGAGTAGAAAAGCGTTGATAAGCAAAGCACTCGAGTGTCCTTTAGCTGGGAAATAAATTGAATGCGTGCCCGATGCAATCTATCGCTGGCGGCGTCAGCCAGACCCTTACTAGCACTAAAATGTGAGGGCAATAAAAACAAATATAACACGGCTGAAAATAAACAGGCGACTAACAACTGGACACGGCGGACAGGAAAAGAGTGTGTGTTCTGTTCTCTGTCATCTATCCTCTATAGAGGAGCGTTGCACTAATTAAGAGCAAGCAGGATGGCTCCTCCCTCCCTCCTCGGGGACTGCAACTCACCCGGGTGCCGCTGCGATAGGCGGCCATGGTGACGACCGGTCCGGTGTCGGCGCTGGAAACGACGGTGATGTCCTGCGGATGCAAGCAGATAATAGAGAGGGTGCACAATGGTGTTAGTGTGACACTAGCTTACTCGGAACTCCGCCTGCTCCACGCGTATGTCGAAGTCACCGTGCAACCGCCGGCCGCGGAAGTACTTGGACCAGTCCGTGTTCTGATCATCCAGCACCAGAAGCGTGAAGTATCTGTCCTTGTTGAAGGCGGGCGCCCGCTGAGTGGCACTCTGGACAGCAGCTCCTGTGGGTGGGGTGTGTCAAGGGTTGAAAGGGATTAGCAAATAATTTCATTTCAATCTATTTTCCAAACAGGACGGCATTCAGTTGATTCTCGCTTCCATTTCGTCTACAACTTTACTGCTCATCTGAACTGAAATACTTTATACCATTAGGAAGATAACTATGGAGCTGTAAATTGAAGTATATTTCTGTTACATCGTAAATCATTGTCATAAATTCTTGACGCGTTGGCAATGTTGGCAATGTGACTCACACTCAAAATTGATTTAACGACTTTTATGAAACATGACACGATTGACGAATAAATGATTCATTAATACTCGTGTTGAATGTATTGCAGTTTTGCCTTGAATTTGTGTTTTGCATAAACGACATAGGCGACAGTTTTCGACCATCAATTCGAATTTCTACTTCGCAATCATCAATAGTTGT